ACATCACACAACGAACACCATCACATCACACAACACCATCACACATCACACAGCGAACACCATCACACACACAGTGAACACCATCACACACACAGTGAACACCATCACACATCACACAGTGAACACCATCACACACACAGTGAACGCCATCACACATCACACAGCGAACACCATCACACACACAGTGAACACCATCACACACACAGTGAACACCATCGCACACCACATCACACAACGAACACCATCACAGCACACAACACCATCACACATCACACAGCGAACACCATCACACACACAGTGAACACCATCACACACACAGTGAACACCATCACACATCACACAGTGAACACCATCACACATACAGTGAACGCCATCACACATCACACAGCGAACACCATCACACACACAGTGAACACCATCACACACACAGTGAACACCATCACACACCACATCACACAACGAACACCATCACAGCACACAACACCATCACACATCACACAGCGAACACCATCACACACACAGTGAACACCATCACACACACAGTGAACACCATCACACATCACACAGTGAACACCATCACACACACAGTGAACGCCATCACACATCACACAGCGAACACCATCACACACACAGTGAACACCATCACACACACAGTGAACACCATCACACACCACATCACACAACGAACACCATCACAGCACACAACACCATCACACATCACACAGCGAACACCATCACACACACAGTGAACACCATCACACACACAGTGAACACCATCACACACCACACAAAGATCATCAAAGATCCCCCCGGTATAAGCCTCAACAGACTGTTGGAGCAGGTCGCTGTTGGCGAGCAGCAATCTGTGAAGGCCGGAACGGCGCACGAGAAGGGGGGGTGGGTGGCCATCACCACGCCCGGCCGCCTTTGTCTCCCCAGCGGCGATGGGTTTTTTTACACACCGCGCCAGGTACTACTCATTTGAGGCTGAGTCGACCTAGGGGATGCCCAGGCCCGGTTCAGATAATCGCCACTGGGTGTTCGTGGCCGTGCGCGGGAATCGAACTCGGGTGGCCAGGGTCGTAGCGCGGCGCGCTAACCGCTGCACCACCGCTCCCCCCCCCGCATCCAACACGGGCCCGACTCGAGAGGCCCCTCACCGCCAACTTCACTCGCCCAGCCGTCAACACCCACGACACACACTGACACACACACTGACACACACGTGGACGTGATCCACACCGAACAGCGCAAGGTGCACATGGCCTGGCACAAGCGTCGTGGTGACGTCACCGCCACTTCGTGGTGAACGGCGGTTGTTGTTGTGTTTGTGTGTGAGTGTGTATGTGTTTGTGTGTGAGTGTGTATGTGTGAGTGTGTATGTGTGAGTGTGTATGTGTGAGTGTGTATGTGTGAGTGTGTATGTGTTTGTGTGAGTGTTTGTGTGTTAGCGATGTGGCGGCCTGCGAGGACTCACCATGTCGCGAGCGATCGGAGGCTGAGCAGCCTGCGGCAGAGGCCCCTTGCCAACTCAGAGGGTTTATTAGACGCGTGTGGGTGCGAAAACCTCCAGATTGTTCGCGGCTGTACCCCACCCCCTACCCCACCCCCTCCCACCCCCTACCCCACCACCCCCACCCTCCCACCCCCCACCCCCTACCCCACCCCCTACCCCACAACCCCCTACACCACCACCCCCACCCTCCCACCCCCCTACCCCACCACCCCCACCCTCCCACCCCCTACCCCACCCCCTCCCACCCCCTACCCCACCCCCTACCCCACCACCCCCACCCCCCACCCCCCCACCCCCTACCCCACAACCCCCTACACCACCACCCCCACCCTCCCACCCCCTACCCACCACCCCACCCTCCCACCCCTACCCCACCACTCCCGCCCCCTACCCCACCACCCCCACCCTCCCACCCCCTACCCCACCACCCCCACCCCCTACCCCACCACCCCCACCCCCTACCCCACCACCCCCACCCTCCCACCCCCTACCCCACCACTCCCGCCCCCTACCCCACCACCCCCACCCCCTACCCCCTACCCTACCACCCCCACCCCCTACCCCCCCACCCCCCCACCCCCTACCCCACCCCCTACCCCACCACCCCCACCCTCCCACCCCCTACCCCACCACCCCCACCCTCCCACCCCCTACCCCACCACCCCCACCCCCTACCCCACCCCCTCCCACCCCCTACCCCACCCCCTACCCCACCCCCTCCCACCCCCTACCCCACCCCCTACCCCACCACCCCCCACCCCCCCACCCCCCCACCCCCTACCCCACAACCCCCTACACCACCACCCCCACCCTCCCACCCCCTACCCCACCACCCCCACCCTCCCACCCCCTACCCCACCACTCCCGCCCCCTACCCCACCCTCCCACCCCCTACCCCACCACCCCCACCCCCTACCCCACCACCCCCACCCTCCCACCCCCTACCCCACCACTCCCGCCCCCTACCCCACCACCCCCACCCCCTACCCCCTACCCCACCACCCCCACCCCCTACCCCCCCACCCCCCCCACCCCCTACCCCACCCCCTACCCCACCACCCCCACCCTCCCACCCCCTACCCCACCCACCCCACCCCCTACCCCACCACCCCCACCCCCCTACCCCACCACCCCCACCCTCCCACCCCCTACCCCACCACCCCCGCCCCCTACCCCACCACCCCCACCCCCTACCCCACCCCCTACCCCACCACCCCCACCCTCCCACACCCCTACCCCACCACCCCCGCCCCCTACCCCACCACCCCCACCCCCTACCCCACCCCCTACCCCACCACCCCCACCCCCTACCCCCTACCCCACCCCCTACCCCACCACCCCCACCCCCTACCCCACCCCCTACCCCACCACCCCCACCCTCTCCCACCCCCTACCCCACCACCCCCGCCCCCTACCCCACCACCCCCACCCCCTACCCCACCCCCTACCCCACCACCCCCACCCCCTACCCCCTACCCCACCCCCTACCCCGTACCCCACCACCCCCACCCTCCCGCCCCCTACCCCACCACCCCCACCCTCCCACCCCCTACCCCACCACCCCCACCCTCCCCACCACACCACCCCAGAGCCTCTTAAACTTAAAATATATATTTTAAAAATATTTAAGTTTAAACTCGTTTATTTTACGTTTGTTTTACCAGGTAAAGACCCCCACTGAGCTGCATATATCTTGTTTCAGAAGCGACCTTGCTGCGCTGTCGCAAATAATATATCAACGAAGTGGGTGGCTTATCATCATCACCACCACCACGTGGAATTGTCCAGCAAGCAAATGGTTTAAGCGCGTGACGTTCATGATAAATGTGGAGGGGGAAACACCACAGGACCCGGAGAAAAAAAATCCACGCGACCACGAGGAGAGAGACACCGCAAACTCCAAATACACAGCAGCAGGCATCGTCAGGGTCGGAATCGAACACACGGCCTCCTGTACACCAGGCGAGGGAGTTAACATCTCCTAGCCACCGTGATGATGAAGAGAGACACTCGAACTCCAAATATTACAGCAGTAGACGTCAGGGTCGGGATCGAACCCACGGCCTCCTGTAGACTGCAGTGTCACGGCCGGCTTGTCTGTAAAAGGCACGACAGGCGCTCTTGCAGGGTCAACAGGCACAGGCAAGGGTGCGTCGGCAGCAACAGACACCGGCAAGGCAACATCAGGTGATGACGCATCCGTTCGAGGGGCCACGTATGGTTTCAAGCGAGACGTATGGACGTACCAGCGCCGAGCTCCGAACCGAACGCGCGAGGTCTGCCAGTTAGGAACCTCAATGAGCCTTACAAGCCCCTACCATGGTTTATGCAGTTTAGGGGAGGTTCCTGCTCGCACCTGCGGGCAATGTAGCCAAGCCATATCCCCCACCTTCCAGGGGCACTTCCCCTTCGAGCGTCGAGCGCAACGTTCGTTTCGGGCCTGGGTTTTGGCAGTAACCACTCGGGCCCCCGCCTCAGCGACGTGGCGAACGGCATCCTGAATGTAGTCTGGGAGAGGTTTAGTAGGTCCTCCCACTCCCGTTCCCAACTGCACATCCATTGGCGGCACGTTTTCGCGACCGTACATGAGAAAAAACGGAGAATATCCTGTGGATGCGTGAGGCGTCATCCGGTATGCCGAGAGTACCCCAGGGATGTGCAAATCCCAGTCAGCTTGCTTCTCATTAACCGTGTGACACAGCATGGCTGACAGCGTCCGATTGAGTCTTTCCACCATGCCATCCGTCTGCGGGTGGTAGGGGGATGTCTGGATCTTTTTGGTCCCCAGAGCAGCACACACCTCCCCCAACAATTTAGAAGAAAAATTCCGGCCCTGATCAGTGAGCAGCCTCTCCGGCGCCCCTTTGTCCATGACATATCCAAATAGAAAGGCGTCCGTAATGGACGCCGCCGACTGGTCGGGCAAGGGCCAGGCCATCGCCAGCGGGAGAGATACTCCACCCCAACTAGCAAGTATT